CTTTCTGATAGTTTTTTTTTTGTATTATTACTTTTTCCCACACCAAAAACCTCGAAAGTTGACCTTACTTTGTCGACAGTTAAAAGTCTGTTCTGCTTGTCATCCTCATTTTCGAATCTTTGTACAAACTTCTGCATCATTCCGATTGCTCGTTCAGAATGATCATTGACAACAATTAACATTTTGGCAAAGTTTTCAAAATTCTTAAACGAGGACTGGGTGTGCCAATATTGGGGTGGAAGTGACAACCAGTCTCTCACTCTCTGATTATCCAACCCTATCATTGAAAAAATTAAATATGAAAACTCATTAACCAAAAGAGAGAGGGTTGGTACCTTCATATTATTTATGATATTAATCTCGTCTATTCGATCTTTGCTTCTATGTTTAAAATCATCTGCAATGGCTGTTTTTTTATCCATAGAAATATTTTTATCCAAAAGAACCAAGGGAATAATCGTTGAATCAAGATACCATGTATGCTTATAAAGAGATGCTAACACTGCGTCTACTGCCTCCGCATTAAAGCAAACTTTCTTATACTCTTTCATCTGAAAGATTGCATCAAGATCAGACGCAGGAGATTGAATTGCTTTATGTGCTTGAAGGTACCACCTTGTGTAAAAACATACTATGAACTCGCAGATGAGTTTTAAATCTTCGCGTAAATTATCATTTTCTTGCACAAATGTCAGTTGCTTGCACAAAAGCTGAAGTTTAAGGTAGTATAAACTCTTGCCTAAAAACCTAGCATGATGAACAGCTCCAGTTTTCTTTAATTTGAAATGTGCAGAAGGGGATAAATACTGCATGGTTAGCTCAGCCAACTCTCTTCGGTCATTCCTCATATTGCATTTTTTAGAATAATAGGTCTCACAGTAATCTAAAGTTTTCCTTGCAGCTTCCTTCAAAACTGTTCCTTCCACGGTTTTCCAATCAAGAGAGGTCAGGTTATTTTCGTCGTATTTGAAGTTAGGGTTCTCAAACTTATGTTTAAACTTTACGAATAAAGGATTTTCAGGCCCTACGCTATTCTCTTTTATCACTGCTTCACAGAAATGAACCATTCTAAGCTCAATGATATGATGCCTACATGCTAGTAATAGAAGGTATTTGTGAACCTCTCTTGCAATCCTAGTAAGTGATCCTTTCTTAGAACCAGTATTACTTGAAGTTGTATCAAAGCATACTCCGCATACTTTTGAAATGAGGTCATATTCTTCTAGTATTTTCATGATTCCTATATACATATTTTCACCTGAAGAAGACGGCAAGGCAGGTACTCCAAGAAGATGCGACACCCCCTCAATATTAACGAGCACAGCTAATCTTTCATTCTTTAGTCTTTTTCCCTGATTTATTTCAAACAAAGTCTTTCCGTCAAAATGAATTATACAGGGATAACGGCTTTTTTCCACGGCCTTCTTTATATCTAATTTAGCAATTTCTGCAGTATCCTTGGCAGTTTTTTTCATCTTCCTTAATGCTGTTGAAGCACTGGCTTTGCATTTTGCGATATCAACTCCACAATCTTGAAGAATTGCTCCAGTTACTTTTTGTAAGACATTGGGGGAGATATCATTTGCTGTAGCTATGATAGATACATTTCCATCAAAAATATTCTTAGGGACTTTGGCAGTAATGTTGCAATCATCTGCTCTTCTATGATGCCAAACTTCGGGTTCAAATTCTGAATCAGAATCAGCGCTAGTGTCAGTGAAATTTAAGTCTAATTCTGAGGTAGCATCAATCTTCGGAGATTCGTCTTCTAGCCTTGTCCTCTTCCTCTCACCTTCAGAAACCTAAAATTTGTTTTAACATAGTGTATGTGTATTAACAAATAATGTATGTTAAATTAGCAAATTTGAATAAAAAACGTCAAATTAACCCAATAAAAACAACACAAAACCTTTTTGCTAAATTTTCTATCTTCTGATCCCAAACTAAAATATCTCGGTCCTTCCTGGTCTTCCAAAAAAGTTAAATCATCGTACTTATCTTTATCTGAGCGTTTTTTATCCTTCCTAATTTGGTTCTTTAAATCTGTAGAACCAATCCAAAACAGCTTTTTCAAAAATGAAATAAACTCCCCTTGATTAACCTTGTCTCTAGCTGTTCATCTGCATTTATTTCTACTCAAATCTGAATACTTCTTGTCCATCTTCATAAGGTTCTTGATAATACTTTTATCTGACATTACTTGAAATCCCGCTTTAAGCCATGGTCTTTTAATTAAGCCTAAAATGCATTCACAATCATCTACTTCACATCTCTTGTAACCCTGAATCTTGTAAGGAGGGCATGATAAAATTGCTGACTTCTTAACATTATGAGGAAGTAGTGATCTTCTGTAGACAATGTGTTGAAGAAAATCCATTCCAGTAGGGAGTTGAAGACCTTAAGAAAAAAAAAATCAATATTTTAATTTTTAACAAAAAATTTAAAATTCAAAACAATTTTTTTAAATTAGATATGTACATGTAATAGCTGGTTTAGCCTCATTTATGATAAAAAGTTTGTTTTTGCTTGATCTAAGAAACTTCCTCTTCCCAATATCTTTTACAATTTTTTTTTCCATTTTTGTATTCAATCTAAATATATTTAATGGTCTGTAATTAATTAAAAACTTCAATACAATTTTACTTTATATTGTAATTCAATTATTAACAATCAAGTAAATACGAAAGTTATTTACAAAAATAAAATAATGTAACGCAATTTCACGTACAATTTCTTTATAAAAACTCTTAGTGACTTAAAAATACAGTGCAGAATCTTCAGCACATTTTCTTTTGCATTATTTTATAAGAATTTTTTTATCGTTGCCGATTTTCATAACCTCTTGCGTAACATAAAATTTTTATTTTTTTCTTTCGTAAATATCGTTTTAACCAAGAATATGTAAAAAACATGATGACATACCCTTTTAAAATGAAAATATAGATATCAATTAACAAAAAAAAAAAAAAAAATGGAAATAATTTTTTCATTTAAATCCCCCTCAAACACCCTGAACACACCCTATTTTTCCTTTTTTGAAGTACAATTTCTTAACAACTTTAGTCTTGAGGGGGACTTAAAAGTCACCCGAGTGACCTAAAAAAAATTTTGACAAAGTTTTAGCATATTTGCTCCAACTTTAGCTGGGTATGTTCTTCGATTTCAAAAATTCCCTAAAAATGACTACCCCTAATATATATATATATATATATATATATATATATATATATATATATATATATATATATATATATATATATATATATATATATATATATATATATATATATATATATATATATATATATATATATATATACATATATACATATATATCCTTATAGTGTAGTCGAAAGAGTCTTTTAATGTAAAAAAAGTCACTTTCAACTACAATTTTAATTACCTCGTCTCTTAAGCTGTATTTGATTGTCGTCGAAATGTCAAAGCAATTAAATTAATGCCGAAGTACATTAAATTATATTGTTTTTTAAAATTTTTTTAAAAAACTGCAATAATAACGACTAGAAAGTTTTTTTTAAATAGTGGTGTTTTTGTTTTTGTTTTATTAAAAAACATTTTTAAAACATGCGTAAATGTTGCTACATCGACTATCTTTTAGCCTGCTGCTACAAGGGAGTGTTTCTACATCGACTATCTTATAGCCTGACTCGCAACAGAGTGCTGCTACATCAACTGACAAATAGCCTGACTCGCAAGGGAGTGCTGCTACATCGACTGACAAATAGCCTGACTCGCAAGGGAGTGCTGCTACAACGACTGACAAATAGCCTGACTCGCAAGGGATTGCTGCTATGTCGACTGAGGGTTTGGTTTGGGCAGGCAGTCTATCATTTATAAAAAAAAAAAATTTAAGTTTTTAAACTTTTTCTGGTCTGGTTTATTAACGCGCTCTTTAAAAATACAGTTTATGGGAAACTCTTTTTGACTACCATGCAAGAGTATATATATATATATATATATATATATATATATATATATATATATATATATATATATATATATATATATATATATATATATATATATATATATATATATATATATGTATATACATGTATATATATATATATACATTTATATGTATATATATATATATATATATATATATATATATATATATATATATATATATATATATATATATATATATATATATATATACAGAAACAAATGTATATATATATGTATGTATGTATGTATGTATGTATGTATATATATATATATATATATATATATATATATGTATTTATATATATATGTATATATATATGTATATATATGTATATATATTATTATATAAACACACACCCTCATAGCACATCAGAAGCAATTGTCAACAATTTTACAAGAATACACAACACTTTGTTATTGCTGGAAATAAATTTTGATTCCAATATGGTAAGTTAATATTCCAGAACGTATATATTTTGATTCTTCTCTAATCAATAGAATGCGTGAACTATCATATTTTGTGTTACAGTTACATAATTTTATTAGTTTCTATTGCTAACTTGAGTATACAATAGTAGAAATGGAGCTTGAAACTTTATTTAAAAACTAAAAGCAAATATTTACATTATTTTTAGGCAAAAGAAGTTATAGATGAAAAACCAGGAATCATTACTAATCTTTTGTATGAACTTTTTATAAAACTTGGCAAAAAATGTAACAGCGGTAAAATAAATGATACTATGGTAGCATTGAGAGCTCATGGTTTGCTCAAAATTGATCCTTTAAAGACAAAAATGTTCAAAGAAGTAATTTTAGATTTTTTTTTTTATCTTTATTTAATATATAAAAGCATTTTAAATTTTGTTTTTAAAAATTTTGTACTAGGATAAATAATAAATAGAGTAAGTATATAATTTTTAGCATCTAAAGAGTCTTTTGCCTCGACAAGTCGATAAAGATTTTAAAATGTTAACAGAAACTTACAAGAACAAAATAAAATTAAAGGAAGAAGAAATATTAAAATCACAGTAATTTTTTATTTAAATGTTTATTGATATTGGTAAATACATTATTCTTAATAATTATAAATTTATTGATGCCAGTAAATACATTTTTCAAAGTATATAAACTAAAACAGGATGAAATATAATGAAACGTCCTATATAATAAAATGTTGGTTATAATAAAATATCACATATAATGAATTGTCTGATATAATGTAAAGTCAGATAAAGTAAAATGTAGAATATAATGAAATAGTTATGATGATGTTTATTTCATTGCACTTAATTTCTAGCTGTCTGATTAGTAATTAATTAAGTTATTAACAGTCATTTAGTAATTTTAGTTAAATAATTTCTAGCAGTCAGTGGAGAATACACTTACCAAGACCCTTAAAGTACAGGTCTTACCAAGACCCGTACTTTATGGGTCTTGGTAAGTGTATTCCACACTGACTGTTTTTTTCTTTACTTCATTATTTTTTAGTCAACAGCAGGGAAAAAAAAAATATATATATATTTTTTGATATATATATATATATTGATATATGTAGCATTTTTTATAATAAACTCTTTTATTTTTAAATATTAAGTGCTGCGTTTCAGAATTTATTGTTTCTTAGCCTTTAGTAAAAACTAAATTTGCTTGAGAAAGTTTACTTTAACTTTTTTCATTAATAGCGTTTGTTATTATGATGCCAATTTGTTTGTTTGTCTGCATGTCAATTCCAAACCATATGCATTTTTAATAAATTCTATTGTTTCTGGGCAATGTTTGTCCAAATATCAATCTCATAATGTCTAATGCTACTTTAAAAAAGATCTACTTTTAGAACACAAACTTTACACTATTTGCAACAGTAAATTTCATTATATTGTTAATGAATTTCCTGTTATCAACATTTTAAATTCAAAGTTATAACTTAATTTATATATTTAAAAAGTGGTATAAAAGTATGAAAAAAACTACCAGCTTTTTATTGGTTGACTCTCTGGTTCAGAAAAAAAATCAATTTAGGTGCAAAAGAAACAGAAGAAATCAAAATTGCAACATCAGATTTTCCTTCTGCATATAGTTACACCAACTATAGCTGGTCAAGTTGCTAAACATTAGAAAAAAAAACATAGTTTTGTTCCAAAAATGAGTGGCTCTGTTTTCAAAAAAAAAGGTTGACTGCATTATCTGCCAAAATATGAAAAAACATATATCATAATAGCTAAAATAATTGAAAATATCTAAAAAATGGTCCAAATATAAAGTTTCTTATTATGACGAGGATAGAAAGCAACATTTAAGTTTTTTACATAAGAAAATAGTTGATCACAAAAAATCTGCTGGATGTTAAGCTAAATTTAAGAGGATAGAAAAAGATTAAAAAGAGACTCTTTCAAACAATTTTTAAAAGTCTTTATTATATATATATATATATATATATATGTATATATATATATATATATATATATATATATATATATATATATATATATATATATATATATATATATATATATATATATATATATATATATATATATATATATATATAATATGCATATTGTCTACTTTTTAAAGTTATGAAAATTTTTTCTTTTGTTATACAATTAACTTTAAAAAATTTTAAATGCTTCAAAAATGCAAATCACTATTTATCAGCAGTTAGGGTATTATTACCAGTCTAAATAGTATTTAGAATACCCAATTGAAAGGTGTTGATTGAGGTGGTACTACCCTACATTTTTTATTTTTCAAAATATGAAATTTTTCTTAAAATTAGAAACATTTTTAGATAACAAACTGAATATAAAAAACATCATTTAATAAGATGCTGAGTCAGCATAAAAAAGCAAAAAATGTGCAGTCACAAGAACTTAAATAACTTTAATAACTTAGCATATTGCTAAATAGTTGGTCGAGGGCCCCTAGTAAAATTAAAAAAAAATATTAGGTCAAAAAAAATGGCAGATATAGAGCTGCAACGGACATAAAAAATGGTCCACAGGGTATGTAAAATAGGGGATTCAGATCAAAATAAATAATATTTTCTAACAATTCTATTACCAGCCCTTTCTACAATATCAATGAATAAACTGTAAAAATTCCAAACAAAAAGACCTAATAATTTTGTTCTAGTTTTAGAAATATTCAAAAAGTAGAAAACTGAGAAAAACAACTTTTAAAATAAAAAAAAGTTATAAACTAAAAAAAGTCAATCAATAAAAAGATCAAAACTGTCCAGGACAATATGATTGACCACCCTCACAATCTCTTGCTCTTTGTCTAAATAAATTTTTTTTAAAGATCTTAATATCTTTCTTCTTTTTTTAGCTCTTTTACTTGACTTTAATTCAATATTTTTTAGACGTTTTTTGTCAAATTGCTGTGCATTAAGATTGAAATAATATCCTGGCAAAATGTCTAGCAATTTAAAAACTTCAGCAAGTCCTAATATTCCTTCATTGTGTGCAATAACAGCAGAGCTCACTGCAATTTCCACAATTTTTTTTGATACAAATATATTTTTTGCGCAACGATTCCAAATTAATTGGTTGAATGATTCGTTACAATTTTGAGTCAAGCCATGCAAACATTTTTTAAGATGCTCCACTTTGGACAAGACTTGAAAAATTGGTTTGTTCATTATAACTTTTGCTTTATATGCTTTTGCATTATAAAGTTTGCTCATTATAACTTCTGGTAAAATTAATTTACTTTTATATGTTTTAAGTTTAGTTACTTAGTCAGGCTGCCACTTGCACCAACTATTTTTGCCTTTAGTACAAAATAAGTGACATGTTTTGTCTGAAGCAAAAGCAGTGCAGTGATACAATGTTGCAATGACAGAGTTACGCATCTCTAGTAAATTTGATGTATTTTCCCTAATTGCCATACCTACATAATTTTGAAGTGCATTAATGGCTTTATCAGTTAATCTTCCTTTTCCATATATTTTTTTACCATCTGATAATATCTCATTTTTCAATAATTTTCTTAATTGCCGACACCTATTACCTGTTCTTTTTTGATGACCTATGCATTCTAATTTTTCTGGAATCAATTAATCTCCATAGGGTTTTGATGCAACTACTTTTATAAAAGAACTAGTATCTCCGTCACCTAGATACTTAGCATAGTGAAGGTTGTATTTTTGTACAGAAAAAGAAAATATTTCAATGACTCCAGCTGCTTCCATTGACTCTGCTGATCCAGAATGGTTTATTTGACAAATATGTTAAATTTCCACTCATAAAGTACTAAAGAATTCTTTTTTTTATTCCATATTTCAAAACTTGGACATCACATAAGTGTCTATAACTTTTTTGTTTTTGTGCGCTGCAGCAACAACACCATTAAGATACAAATATCCCCTTTTCTAGTACCATTAACAGAAACAGAGCAATTAACAAGACTTGACATATCATCATTTGGTTTTATAAGACTTTGTCTTACTTTCTTAGCAGAACCTTTCATACTGCAAATTGCGCTTTCTGATATGCGATATGTAACTCTTCATTACATCTGTTTATATTTCGATAAGTCGTATGGGGTGGCATAAGTTTGCAATAAATAATAATATTTGCAAAGCGTATCATTGATTCTCTGCTACATCCTATTTCACGAAATGCCATTTGACTGCGAATGTTTACTTCATGTGGTTTATTTCCACACTTTTCAGTATTTACTACAGGAGATGTAAAAAAACTATCAATGTTATCACAATGAGTACATTTAACTTTTAAAGACAAAGAAAAACCTTTACGCAGCAACATATTATGTAATATTTCCAGCTTATTTCCAGATATTTCCAGAACTAAACTTTAAATTAGGGCTAAAACATAAACATGCACAGTTGCTAAGGCCGTTGCTAGGGATTTAAAAATTACCTCGTTGTCTTTAAATACTAATTTTAAAGGGAAAAAAAATTATACTCGTGATCCAGGATGTTTAAACTGTTAATTTGAAACTGTTAAATTTGACTGTTAAATTTGAAATTTTTTTTTTTTTGTTTTTTGATGTTTTTAATAGGGTAGTACCACCTTAATTACAATTAGTATAAAAAGTTCAAAAAACATGTGGAAATAGTCTAAAAAGTATGTGGAATAATTGAGTTTCTATTGTTTGTTTTTATTAAATTTCTTTTCAGATCATCCACAGTTTACTAGGATCCTCACCCTGTTAATTAATTTTTAAAAATAAAAGTTTGAATTTAAATTTTTTTTTTGTATAAGAAACATAGTAATATGCTGAAGCAAATCTCCTAATATTTTATCTCAGTTTTACTAAAAAAATTTAATTGGTATCATTATTTACATGGTATTATTGTTTACCTGGATTTTCAAGAACAAAATAAAATTATTATTATATCCAACATTTCACCCTATTTAAGTTTGAATATTTTTTAAATATTCAAACTTAAATAGGGTGAAATGTCAGATATAATAAAAGTCAGATAAAATGAAATGTCAGATAAAATGAAATGTCAGATATATTTAAATGTCAGATGTATTGAAATCTCAGATATAATAAAATGTTGAATATAATAAAATATTGGATATAATGGAATGTTGGGTATAATGAAAGTTATGATATAATGAAATGTTAAATACAATAAAATGTTGGATAATGAAATGTTGGGTGTAATGAAATGTCAGATGTAATAAAATTTTGTATAATTAACTAACCACATTGATAACATAAGTATCTCTATTGTGATGTATGCACAATAAATTTCTCCTGGTATTTTAATGTTTTAAGAAATTTTAAGCTTTTTTAAAATCCTCTCCCTTTCATTTGTTTTAATCTATAATATCTTTGTATTTGTTATGTATATAATTTCTATAGAACTTTAAAGATGTTTTGTTTTATAATGCTTTGTTTTGTAAGTTGGATAATCTTAAAATTTCTTGGGTGCGGATTTGTCCCCAAACTTGACACGCATACCTAAGATGTGATCCAAAAATGGCATGGTATATATTGATAAGAGTTTCAAGATTGACATAATGACGAATTTTAGCTATCATCCCATTCA